AAAAAAAACGTTGGCGATAACTGTTTCTAGAACAACTGTTACAGGTAAGTTTAGCCCCCGGACACCGCTTGTGTGCTACGTTTACGATGTCACGGCTGAATGCATTTCCGATGCAAGGTCATGTATTCGAACTCTCCTGAGTTTTCACAAGGGCACCTGGAAACACAATGACTCCCGTCTGATATCAAAATCGCCAATTATCCAATTATAGCGATATTGTCTTATTCCGAGGGTTGCTCTGTGGAGAACAAAAGGGTTCGTTAGGGTCGGGAAAGGGTTGTTTTAGTTGGATTTGATTTACTGCAGTAAATCGCGTGAAGTGATGCGAGGCAATAATGAGGCACGGTAATTTGTGTGTGCTTTCATTGGGACGCAAGCGGGATATTTTCAATGACTTTCTTTTTAATTTTGTTGCGCAGAAACACATATATAATTGCCAGGGCACATGAAATGACATATACAACTTGAATTATGCAATTCTCGCAATCTGATAGAGATGACAATTTGCCGAAAATTATATTTCAGTTCCACAGGGCTTCCCCTTAACGAGGGATGGTAGTTTTATTGCAAAATACATATTTAGTATAAATGCTGAGGTCGAATAAAAGCTTGAACGGGGCTCTCGAGGAGGGATTTCTGCGCATCGAATTCGCATCGGGTAACGGTTCGCTCTGACCGGGAAACCAATTTTGACTGTTTAACCCCTACAGCCGAAATTGTTCAAAAAGCCAGAAACAGTAAGAAATGACTAATTATAATTTAAATAGACTATTTGATAATAATCTGCTTTATCAAAACCAGAGACGTATATACTGCATAATGGCTTTATGTATCTCTGCTCAAACCTAATGCTAGTTTGGAGTAAAAAATATTTATAACCTGTTTGACTCTATAGTATTTGAAATATGTCTTCTTTTCTGCTAATATTGATCGTTTATCCCCAAATATTAGCCAAAATACCGAAATGTCTCTTTCAGGGTACAGTCACACCGGTTATTGTCGACAGTAATTTAAATAAATGATACCACGGACTTAGATCAAATATAATTCTGTGATGAAACACAAACATTTTTTCCTTGTGAAATTTACTTTAATACTGTCCTATGCAGTTGAGGAGACAGAAAATATCTTTGTTCCAGGGAAATGTTTAACACGACGAGATACTTTTGATAAGCACCGTTAACCAAATATACCCGGTGAAGAAAAGCCGACCAGCGGCCTCTGATGTTAAAGAAGTCTCCCATCCATCCTTATAAAAAATAGGCCGTAGAAAATATGAAAATAAAAATAATTTTGAAAATAAACTTTCTTAAAAAGCTTGCACTTTTATTAAGTTTCTTTGAAAGTATCGACACATGTATTGTTGATTATAACTATATTTCATTCATGGAAGTAAGACAAGAGGTAGTACAGGGACCTGATAATTTGTTACAGCTATATTTGGACCTAAACTAAGGTGTTCAGAGTAATTTTACAAGTTTTAGTGGTTTCAGAGACGTATAAATATCTATGTCTCTGGTGGTTTAGATCGACTTTTGGTAAAAATGACACCCCAAAATAATCATTGGCAGGGTGTCATTTTTACCAAAAGTAAAAAAACAACCACCTAAAATACGTAAAATTACTCTGAACACCTTAGTTTAGGCCCAAATATAGCTGTAACAAATTATCAGGTCCCTATAGCCCAGCAGGCACATACACGTTGAATACACGTTTATTCAACGTTGAACTTCGACGTTGCTTAAACGTTTAATTTATATTTGATTCTGAAAGTTGAAACAACGTACCAAAATTCAACGTTGAGTCTCGACGTTGAATAAACGTTGGAGCTCAACGTTGGCTAAACGTTGAATTGTACATTACTATTCAACCTTCTGTCGGACCATTCAACTGGTAGCATAGCTTAAGTTTCCTCTGGCCCCTTAACTAGACTTAGACATGTTGACAGGTAGACGTCTGGTAAGGGACATCTATCTGTCAAAACGTCTTAGCAGTCGGCAAAATCATATCCGATAGAAAAAAGGCCGACCAGCTGCCTCTTACGTAATAGGAGAAGGTTTATGGTCAACTTCCAATTTTGTATGACCGCAATTGCTTACGTCTTCAAAAAGATAGAGTTAATGACGCATGTTTTTATATGTTTTATGCTTATGATTTATGCTTATGATTTATGCTTATGATTTATGCTTATGTTATAATTAGTACTGTTCCTGCTTTTTAATATGCACGTGCTATCATCAAACTGTTTTATGATTGTTTTAGTAGTTTCAATGTATATAGTTTTGCTGCATAATCCTACTTTTTCTACTAGCATGCTTTTTACCTTGTTATTACTCTGTTTTTATACTTATGTTTACCAAATAAAGCTTCTTGTATCTTGTATCTTGTATGCACAACAAAAGTTCCACCATGTGGCGAATCACATAGAGCAAGGGAGCTGATCAGTCCACATAGGCAGACATGAAATAAATCACAAAATTGTAAATCATGTAACATTATAAGGTAAGAGTAATAAGTTAAATTAAACTCCCTGAAAAATGAACATTGGCGATTTTTATAATAAGCCAAAATAACAAAAGAAAACGACTCCAGCTTTTAATTAATTCTTTCAATTTCCCCGTAAGTTAAATCTAAGTTCAATCTAGTTGCTATCTAAGTCCGTGTTTCAACAACGTGATTTTAAATCCCCCAGTAGATAATGCGTGCACAGTTACGATACTTTCGAATTTTTTTTACCTATGGCAATGGTAATCGTGATGTTTCTATATATAATAACCAAATATAAAATATAGGATATCATTAACAATTAAAAACAGGTCGTTGATTCAACGTTGAGATTCAAATTCATTAACTTTGTTTAAACGTCATATTACAACAACATTTCAACGTTGAAAAAAAATAAAGCTAAATCGACGTTGATTCAACGTTTATCAACGTCACGACCAAATTACAACTTCATTTCAACGTTGAATAAATGTTGTGTGCCTGCTGGGAGTGGTTTGTAGAAGTTAAACTTCAGATCAACATTAAGTATTGATTCCTACATCTGTATTTTCGTTAATTTGTCTATGCCACAAAACAGATATCCTGAATTGATATGCAGCACTACTTGTACAATAACACAATGAAAATGTAAACGATTACTCGCTATCCGGGTTATTAAGGGGTTTAAAGATTTAGTCGAGTGACTACGGTACGATATATTCGGGACACCTCTAGTCGTTCCATAAAAAAAATAAACTTCGTAACCCTTCGTCATTTTTTAACCTTTTTAGCAAACTCAACGATGGCTTTCTGCAGGATATCAACTTTCAGCCGAAAGTTTGCGGCTTCTGCAAATATCCGGTTGATTCCGACAAATTGTCGTCATCGTTTATCATGCTCATGTCGCCGTCACGCCCGACAATTCAGTGTGAGCGTGACCGATCCGAACCCCAAGTCGACGTATGAACGGGTGTTTACAAGTTCGATAGAGTCGCCGCAGGACTTTTGGGCCGAAGTTGCTGAAGATCTTGTATGGCATAAAAAGTGGGATCGTGTACTCGATAACTCAAAGGAACCTTTTACAAAATGGTATTGCTAGTAAACAAATAATTGATCTAAAGAGTATATATGTACGACAGTTAAGTTACCGTATTTTACATATAAAACACCCAGTAATATTTTTTTTTGTCCCCAAACTTTGTCCATTTTAACAATTAAGTTTTAATATTTATTTTAAAACCGTGGTTGGCCAAATAAAATAGTTTAAAAAATAGTCAATAACTAATCAACAAAATGAATTAAACAAAATATATTGTACATAGATCTGTCAATATATACATCTATCACTTATAATCAGTCTGTTATCCAGTGAATTTGCCCGTGTAATATTTTTATATGTCACTAGTGTAATATACCCTGGAGTGTTTTTCATTGGCTGTGCCAGTCAGAAATTGATTGTGAGGTCATAATATGGACAATGACGTGACGTCATAATTAAATAATGAATGGCACAACAAAATGGCTGTCTCCGTTTGATTAAGCCAGGTCTACATTTTGGCTTTTAAGATCCTATATATAATTTTACAATAATGCTATATCATCCGCCACTATAATATATATATTTACTCACTGTATATGTGGCAGTGCATACTTGGGGCTCTGCAGTACAGAGGCCCGACAAATTATTGTGCGTTATGTGGGCTCTTGTGCAAATTTAGATTCTTCTTACTAAATACAAAATGTATATACCAGTATATATACCCACACGTAAACTTGTTCATCTTTCCTTGTTTGTGGGAGGTGATACAAAGGGAGATAATCTGTTATATTCACATCATTAATATATACTTTGTGTTATTCTCAAGGCCTGGTGTTTTCCAAAGTTTCTGTTGGAGACGAGACAAAGGGAGATAATCTGATAGGTCCTTTTTATTGAGTCACTCTGAAATCTTGAATGATTTTCCAGGTTTGTTGGCGGTGAAATGAATACCTGCTATAATGCATTAGATCGGCATGTTAGGAACGGAGACGGGGGTCATGTGGCAATAATTTATGACAGCCCTGTCACAAACACACTTATGAAGTACACCTACGCTGAACTTCTGGATGAGGTATTGATTTATAATATCATCACATACTGATACTAAACATCATATCTAGTGAATTTAAAACAGAAAGTTAAATTTACTCTTACAATATATTGATATTTCATCTGATTCATCAAAGTTCCAATTGATTTTTTTTTTAATAAAGTCTACCCTACTATTTGTCAGGCCAAATGTGGTCCTGTGACCTCATTATTTCAGTCTCTGTATCTGTGCTGTACTTGATACAATAAGTTTAAAACATACCTGTCGTAAATACATGTACAGTCACTTAAATTTTAGCTTCATTGCAGAAAATATAAAAACTTGCAGGTGAGCCGGTTTGCTGCTGTACTGCGGTCCCATGGGGTGGGGAAAGGTGACAGGGTGCTTATCTACCTGCCCATGATTCCACAGGCCATCATATCAATGTTAGCTACAATCCGCATTGGTGCCATCCATTCCCTGGTGTTTGGGGGATTTGCCGCTAATGAGCTCGGGGTTCGTATCAAGCATGCTAAGCCGAAAGTGATAGTGAGTGCTAACTGCGGAGTGGAGCCAAACCGCACTGTCGACTACAAACCTATGCTGGATAATGCTTTGGCCAACATTGACTTCAAACCGGACAGGTGTATCATCTACAACAGACCAGGGGTAGGTCAGCAATTTGAAAGATGATCATTGGAAGGAGACTAATAATTATCTATTTAAAGATGTATTTCTCTTACGTTTCTGTGTGTAACCAAATACATCACTGGCTTGCATTAATATTGGGACCTCACTGTTAAAAGGTGTAGTGCTATCACTGATATCATAGTTATAACAAGCAAATTTTGCATTGTAGTGTTTTAAGGGATATGCAACTTATTTGAGAGGATATCGCATTTTGCAATATACAATGATATGTAATAAGTCTTATTTTATCATTTACCCATTAAATTTTATGTTCATTTGTGTCCTTTCAATATACACTTTCCTGACTTTGTTTGACATCCATCATTTCAATAAAACTTTGCACTCTACAAAGATTTATTTCTTCAGATGTTCTTCTACAATGTAAATTAATACACATGAAATTTGATGTGGCCAATCAGTATTTTCACCAAAGGCAGTCCATTGATAGACAGTATTTTAAGACAAGTATGTTTAGAGGTCAAACACAAGTCACATCTGACATCAGGAATAAAGCCTGCTCCTGCCAGCATATTGGGGTTCATAGCTTTTGAACTCTGCAGATCTCACAGGTAACTGTGAAGATGGACAGTTTACTGACAGAGGATGGATGAGTCTATATATAAAAGAACAATTCAGTCATTAATTGTAAATATGAATATTCACGAAGGGAAAACTAATATGCATGTATATTCACCAACAGTATTGTGGGGTTTACAATAGCTAATATAATCATGTTTATTTATTGCTACAGTAATTCATAATTTAAAAAAAAAGTCTATCTAATGTCACCATCAATAAAGTTATTTTTTGTTGCAGTTTACACCATCAACACTGGTGGCGGGAAGGGATGTTTGTTACCATGAGGAGATGGCTGGAGCCTCTCCTGTGGACTGTGTCCCTGTGTCCGCGACTGACCCCAGTTACATCCTGTACACCTCTGGGACCACGGGCTTACCCAAGGTCAGGTATCACAACTTACAACCTCTCATAGTCAGATATCTCACACCGTTCTATAACACTCTACAGCTTTCATAAAAGAAATAGCGCAACTTTACTGCTACCCGGTAGTTAGGTGATCTGGAGGCCGTCGGCTCAGTTAGTGTAAGTTGGTGTAAATCCTGGTCAGAACATTATACTTGTTTTCCTTTCTGTTAAAAACATACACATGATGTATAAGAGAGGAATTGTACTGTGTAATTATGTATTTAAGTGTGATTGATGTGTTTTGAGTACAGGCGGTGGTGAGACCGAGTGCAGGGCATGCTGTCGTACTCAAGTGGTCCATGTGGAACATCTATGGTTTAAAACCAAAAGAGGTTAGTGACAGACTTTTGGCCATTTTGTGGACATATAATCCAAGTTAATAAGTGTCTAGCCACGCTCTGCATTCATTGCAACTGCAAATATTCTCCTAAATATACTGTATTGTGTAACTGCCCTGATTTGCACATGAAAGAAATAATACCACAATGTCTCTATAATTCTGGTTGACCTTATTATATTGCGCGGCTATGGCCATAAAGAATATTGTTACCTGTCATAATGTCTTGATGTCTTGAAATAGAAATTTAAAGTTTGGTGTTTATATTGGTAATATTGAAACTGGTTTTTATGTTTCAATAAATGTTTAGCCTTCTAAAGCCATGTTGGTGTGTTAAAATGGAAATGAGTTTGAGAAAGCGACACTTTGTTTTTACATCCTGATGTACCTGTACAGGTATGGTGGGCTGCATCAGACCTGGGCTGGGTGGTCGGCCACTCCTACATCGCCTATGCTCCTCTTCTCAACTGTAATACCACCATATTGTTTGAGGTATGTAAGTACCATTGGAATGTTCGGTTGTAGTAATTCAAAAATAATTGAGAAAGTTCTCAAATGAAAAGACTGGACTCTGTTATGTATCATATGTACGTTAGTCAAGCTCTGTGTGTTATAAATCTGCAAATCTTCAGATATCATTTCAATGACTTTAGTCGTAAGAGATTCAAATCCTTAGTTTATCCCAGTGTTTAGGTTACTCTCCTCGTCTTTAGCTTATCATCCCAGTGTTTAGCTTATCATCCCAGTGTTTAGCTTATTCTCCCAGTGTTTAGCTTATTCTCCCAGTGTTTAGCTTATTCTCCTCGTCTTTAGCTTATCCTCTCAGTGTTTAGCTTATTCTCCCAGTGTTTAGCTTATTCTCCTCCTCTTTAGCTTATCATCCCAGTGTTTAGCTTATTCTCCCAGTGATTAGCTTATTCTCCCAGTGTTTAGCTTATTCTCCCAGTGTTTAGCTTATTCTCCTCGTCTTTAGCTTATCCTCTCAGTGTTTAGCTTATTCTCCCAGTGTTTAGCTTATTCTCCTCCTCTTTAGCTTATCATCCCAGTGTTTAGCTTATTCTCCCAGTGATTAGCTTATTCTCCCAGTGTTTAGCTTATTCTCCCAGTGTTTAGCTTATTCTCCTCGTCTTTAGCTTATCCTCTCAGTGTTTAGCTTATTCTCCCAGTGTTTAGCTTATTCTCCTCCTCTTTAGCTTATCATCCCAGTGTTTAGCTTATTCTCCCAGTGATTAGCTTATTCTCCCAGTGTTTAGCTTATCATCCCAGTCTCTAGCATAATTCCTCCCTGTCTTAAGCTTATTCTCATTGTCTTAAGCTTATTCTCCCAGTGTTTAGCTTATTCTCCCAGTGTTTAGCTTATTCTCCCAGTCTTCAGAAGCCTGTCTCCTGTTGCAGCTGTAAAACATATGTTGTTGTCCCATAGGGGGAGAGAACCTCTGGAGAGATATGTCATTAAATGGCCGACACAGTGCTGTGACATCATAACACAATAGAACTAAACAGCAAGATGATGTCATCGGAAAGTTAATTTGACAGGAGAAACTATGTGCAAATTGTCAGGGAAAAAACCCAGATTACAATGCTGATAACTGTTGTTTTAAACTGTTAATATTGATGGGTTGGGAGAAAAAGTTATCATCCCCTATAGTAAAGGTTTGCCAGAGAAAACTCAATCAACCCTCTGTGCAAGGTTCTTAAATGGCTAACTCTCAGCTGGAAACAGGCTTTTGGATAGGCAATCATAAATATTATCCTGAGGGTTGACACTTCTCTGCCTTACTTTCATGATAGAGGAGTTTCTATTAATCGAGATTCAAGGAGATAGCCTTGGGAATTTTAAATATTCAATCTGTAGAGGTTCAAAAACTTCAGATTTGGATATTTAAGGCACAAGTCTTGAAAGACTCAGAAAATTGTTCCTGAGAGATTCAAGGATATATATAGTCATGAGTTTGTCTCGGAGAGGTTAAAAACAAAAGTACTTAGAGACTCAAAGATTTAAACCTTGGAGAGATTCAAGGACTTATTTTATAAAATAATCATGAACAAAGTATTTATTTAGTTGAAATTTTACCAACTGCCTTTTAATACTGTTGGGCTGAGTTTAGTTTCAAGTTTTCAGTGATACTTTAAATTTTTTGTTTTTAGATTTTTATAACTGTGTGTAAATCTTATACTGCATAATAGGGAAAACCAGTTGGGACTCCAGATCCAGGAACATTCTTCAGGGTCCTGAAAGAGCATGATGTTAGTGCCATGTTTGTAGCTCCCACAGCACTCAGGGCCATACGTCGGGAGGTAAGTCTAAGGGTCATCACTGGTCTTTTAACTATTGGGTAATCAGACGGGAGGTAAGTCTTAGGGTCATCACTGGTCTTTTAACTATTGGTAATCAGACGGGAGGTACATTTGTAAGTCTTAGGGTCATCACTGATCTTTTAAGGTGGCTCCACACTTTCGCAATTAACCAGCAAAATTCGTTTAAACTTTCATATAATTGTTATGCAACTATGTCGAGTTGATTTTATGAAAATCTAAACATTCCGATAGTTTGGGGAATTTTTTGGAAAAAATACCAAAAAATTGAATTTTCGTCAGTTCTAATATTTTCCGGTTTTTTTTGTGTGTGGCATTGTTCGGAACAATAACAACAATAATAAAATGAAAAGAAGCATTTCTAATTAACCCTACAAATATTTTATTTATCGCAAAATATGTAACACATGTTACACAAAGTGTTTTTTATTGAATTTGTACGGATAAAAGTGATTATCTACAAGCTAAAAGCACCCAGGACACAAAGTTCTATACATATAGAGTGGGAAATTGAACAAAATATACACAATGGCTTTATAATTAATTTATTTTACATTTTACAATCACTTTGATCCGGGTGAGAGTTATCTTCCTTGAAAAAAATCGGAACTTTTTGCAGAGGGGTGACATTTACACAATGACAGTTGTCTCTGTTTACATATAACAAAAATGATGGAAATAAATCAAAAATATGATATCAAAATTATCAATTTATTGTTCTTTAATGGAACCAAATTACCCTCAGTCATGTACACTTTGGACATCATTCCACAGTCCGCTAACTCACGGTATATTTATAATTACATGTCAGATCAGAGGCTATCGCATGGTATACCGTTCTCACGTGCACTCACACATGCATTTCATAGGTATCTTGATATTTTACAAAACATTATTTTCACAGAGTAAGCTAGTAGACTACATTTGTAAACACGATTTAATCGACAGAGCGAAACTCCCTCAACAGCGAAAATCGTAACGACCTCGAGCTTATGAACTCGTGTAAACACGCGATATGCACATGTGAGGTTGGTACGTCCGCATTCCATGTGTTTCCTATATGACCTTCTTGAGGTCGTCTGGTCTCATGTCACTGTCTTCCCGTGAGTCTGTTTATGTCTATGAATTGGAAAGCTTTATTCCTGAAGTACGTGTGAGTATACATTTCCCGGTAAAATCTTGATATCGGGTGTTGACATATCATCGGCACGCACGTGTACTATTGTTTACCATGGGCCTGTTCGTTTATGCGGAACAACCGGTTTGACCGTTTATAAATGTAACAATTTCGGGTGTAAATCCTGGCGGACCTGCAAATGTGTATGCAGGCCCTGCAAGGCTTTCTCAAGACTCGCCTGAAAGCAGCATCAGATTACTAGGTCCGACCTTATTTAATAAACGAACAACAGTGGTCCGATCGGTTTGACCGTTTAAACGAAAACGGCCCAGCAGGTGTTACTATAATTTGCACTACGATATTGAATGCCCGATACGCAATACGGAAATGACGACACGGTGTACATGCACATTTCGATTAAGATAATTGAGTCCTAGCTTTACTTTTTCCGGAAGTTTGTCACGAAAATGGACGCTGATGACGATGTGTCGAGCCACCTTAACTATTGGGTAATCAGACGGGAGGTAAGTCTTCGGGTCATCACTGGTCTTTTAACTATTGGGTAATCAGAAGGGAGGTAAGTCTTAGAGCCATCACTGGAGAATCAAAGTATCTACTGAGTCATTAGAGGGGAGGTAAGTCTTAGAGCCATCCCTGGAGAATCAAAGTATCTACCGGGTCATTAGAGGGGAGCTAAGTCTTAGAGCCATCACTGGAGAATCTAAGTATCTACCGGGTCATTGGAGGGGAGGTAAGTCTTAGAGCAATCACTGGAGAATCAAAGTATCTTCTGGGTCATTAGAGGGGAGGTAAGTCTCTGGGTCATCACTGGACAGGTAACTACTGGGTCATTAGAGGGGAGGTAAGTCTCTGGGTCATCACTGGACAGGTAACTACTGGGTCATTAGAGGGGAGGTAAGACTTAGAGCCATCACTGGAGAATCAAAGGATCTACTGGGTCATTAGAGGGGAGGTAAGACTTAGAGCCATCACTGGAGAATCAAAGGATCTACTGGGTCATTAGAGGGGAGGTAAGACTTAGAGCCATCACTGGAGAATCAAAGGATCTACTGGGTCATTAGAGGGGAGGTAAGTCTTAGAGCCATCACTGGAGAATCAAAGTGACTACTGGGTCATTAGAGGGGGGGTAAGTCTCTGGGTCATCACTGGACAGGTAACTACTGGGTCATTAGAGGGGAGGTAAGACTTAGAGCCATCACTGGAGAATCAAAGTACCTACTGGGTCATTAGAGGGGAGGTAAGACTTAGAGCCATCACTGGAGAATCAAAGTATCTACCGGGTCATTAGAGGGGAGCTAAGTCTTAGAGCCATCACTGGAGAATCAAAGTGACTTCTGGGTCATTAGAGGGGAGGTAAGTCTCTGGGTCATCACTGGACAGGTAACTACTGGGTCATTAGAGGGGAGGTAAGACTTAGAGCCATCACTGGAGAATCAAAGGATCTACTGGGTCATTAGAGGGGAGGTAAGTCTTAGAGCCATCACTGGAGAATCAAAGTATCTCCCGGGTCATTGGAGGGGAGGTAAGTCTTAGAGCAATCACTGGAGAATCAAAGTATCTTCTGGGTCATTAGAGGGGAGGTAAGTCTTAGAGCCATCACTGGAGAATCAAAGTATCTACTGGATCATTAGAGGGGAAGTAAATCTTAGAGCCATCACTGGAGAATCAAAGTATCTACTGGGTCATTAGAGGGGAGGTAAGTCTTAGAGCCATCACTGGAGAATCAAAGTGACTACTGGGTCATTAGAGGGGAGGTAAGTCTCTGGGTCATCACTGGACAGGTAACTACTGGGTCATTAGAGGGGAGGTAAGTCTCAGGTCCATCACTGAACAGGTAACTACTGGGTCATTAGGGGGAGGCAAGTCTTTGGGTCATCACGAGACAGGTAACCACTGGGTCATTAGGGGGAAGGTTATTCTTAAGACTGTCGGAAGGAGGTAAGACAGGTTGTCAAAGGGGAGGTAAGTCTCAGGGTCATCACTGGAGAGGTAATTACTGGGTTATAGAGGGAAGGTTATTCTTAAGACTGTCGGAAGGAGGTAAGACAGTTTGTCAGAGGGGAGGTAAGTCTCAGGGTCATCACTGGAGAGGTAATTACTGGGTCATAGAGGGGAGGATAGTCTCAGGGCCATCACTAGAGAGGTAACTATTGGGTCATTAGAGGGGAGGATAATCTCCGGGCCATCACTGAACAGGTAACTACTGGGTAATTAGGGGGAAGTAAGTCTTTGGGTCATCACTAGACAGGTAACTACTGGGTCATTATAGGGAAGGTTATTCTTAAGACTGTCGGAAGGAGGTAAGACAGGTTGTCAGAGGGGAGGTAAGTCTCAGGGTCATCACTGGAGAGGTAACTACTGGGTCATTAGGGAGAGGTAAGTCTTAAGGTCATCACTGGAGAGGTAACTACTGGGTCATTAGGGAGAGGTAAGTCTCAGGGCCATCACTGAACAGGTAACTACTGGGTCATTAGGGGGAGGCAAGTCTTTGGGTCATCACTAGACAGGTAACTACTGGGTCATTAGAGGGAAGGTTATTCTTAAGACTGTCGGAAGGAGGTAAGACAGGTTGTCAGAGGGGAGGTAAGTCTCAGGGTCATCACTGGAGAGGTAACTACTGGGTCATTAGGGAGAGGCAAGTCTTAAGGTCATCATAGGACAGGTAACAACTGGGTCATTAGGGGGAGGTAAGTCTCAGGGTCATCACTGGAGGTAAGTCCTGGTGACCATCAGAAGGGAGGTAAGCGCTGGGCAATCAGAGGGGGTGTATAAAGTCCTAGGGTTGTTAGGATGGAGGTCATTTTGAGTCAGATGTGAGCTAAGCCTCCACGCCATCAGAAGGGAGATGAGCATCAAGCCTATCAGATTGGAGTTCAGTTCTCAGAATGTCAGTTGGAATGTTCATCTCTGTCAGAGAAAAGTCTTGGGGTCATCAGAGAATTAAAGGAAAGTCTTTCAGATATCTGAGGAGAAATGTGTTTGGAGGAGATGAGGGAATCTGACTAGCAACAGCATCTTCAAAAGAAAGATACATCTTTCAATGTTTTGGAAGAGTTTTATATGCAGGTCTTTGCTTATAGCAATGCATTACATTGTACTCCAATTTATAAGCATGTATCAAACGTTTTCATGTAGAAATAAAAGAGATTCTTTAAAGTCTTTTTGATCATGAAAAGTTTTATTTCTTGAAGCCTTATTATATTTTTCTTTTCATTAAAGGATCCAAAAGCTGACTATGGACAAAAGTATTTCCCGTTATCAAAGTGAGTAAATGATACATGGACAGGTTTCCTATTACAAGACATTATGGCTTCACTTAAACTTCACTAATTTTGCAATTTGATAAGAGTAAAAACATGAATACCTAAAGGTGACAGTGTACATATCTTAGAAGTCATCGAAACGTCACATAGAATTTTTTATTGGTTTTGTAAAAAGAACTTCTCATAATCCATTCTTACCAACCTGAAGAAAATGTTTAGAAATACCTAAATGTTTATATTGAAACATTCTTCAGCTTCAACACAGCAAATAAAAAGTTTGAGCAAACAAAAGATAATATGAGGAATTGCTTGTGATATATCTGACTGTACATGTATTGATCAGGCAAAAACAGTATAAAAATAATTTTTTGACATTGAGGTTCCAGAACATGTTTGTAGCAGGCGAACATTGTGATAGAGAAACTATGGAGTGGACAAAGAACACCTTCAATGTCCCTGTCCTGGACAACTGGTGGCAGACAGGGAAGTATACAATGTGTATGAACTAGACAATGAACACCTTCAATTTCCCTGTCCTGGACAACTGGTGGCAGGCAGGTAATTATATAATGTGTATGAACTAGACAAAGAACTCCTTCAATGTCCCTGTTCTAGCCAACTGGTGGCAGGCAGGTAATTATATAATGTGTATGAACTAGACCAAGAACCCCTTCAATGGCCCTGTTCTAGGCAACTGGTGGCAGGCAGGTAAGTATACAATGTGTATGAACTAGACAATGAACACCTTCAATGTCCCTGTCCTGGACAACTGGTGACAGGCAGGTAATTATATAATGTGTATGAACTAGACAAAGAACACCTTCAATGTCCCTGTTCTAGCCAACTGGTGGCAGGCAGGTAATTATACAATGTGTATGAACTAGACAAAGAACACCTTCAATGTCCCTGTTCTAGCCGACTGGTGGCAGGCAGGTAAGTCTATAATGTGTATGAACTAGGCAAAGAACACCTTCAATATCCCTGTTCTAGACCACTGGTGGCAGACAGGTAAGTATACAATGTGTATGAACTAGACAAAGAACACCTTCAATATCCCTGTTCTAGACAACTCGTGGCAGGCAGGTACGTATATAATGTGTATGAACTAGACAAAGAACACCTTCAATATCCCTGTTCTAGACAACTCGTGGCAGGCAGGTAAGTATATAATGTGTATGAACTAGACAAAGAACACCTTCAATATCCCTGTCCTTAACCTGGTGACAGACAGGTATTTAAAGTACATGTATATTATGTGTATAGACTGGACAAAAAAGCAATTTCAAAGTCCCTGATCTGGACAATTGATGGTAGACAGGTTAGTAAGTACATATTGTACATGGACTGGACAAAGAACACCTTCAGTGTCCCTGTCCTTGACAACTGGTGCCAGACAGGTAATTGCATGTATAAGAACACTCGCTGATTTCCAATGAAGTTGACAGGTAAGTGTTAATTGGAAAAGAACATCTTTGTCCATTCTGGAAAGCTTGTGGTATAGATAGATAGGGACTAGATAGATGATACTTTCAAATAGGGCACTATATGCAAAGATTGAAATAAGTATTTCTGTGTTTTATATATGTATCTAATGTTAATAATATTAAAACTGTTTAATTGATCAATGACTAAGGGAATTACAAAGCATACACATCATGCAGAAGAGCCTCATAAATCAATGGCCAGCCACCACCACTAACCTTTTTGTCCCTAGCCAGCTCACTAATCTAGTTGTTCCTCTATCCAGCCACCACTAATTAAGTTGTCATACTATCCAGCCACCACTAAACTAGTTGTCAAACTATCCTAGCTGCCACCACTATTCTATTTGTACCCTTATTCATCTACAACTTATTTAGTTGTCCCACTTTCCAGCCACTACTTATTTAGTTGTCACACTATCCATCCACCACTAATTTGGTTGTCCCACTATCCATCCACACCTAATCTAGTTGTCTAACTATCCAGCCACCACTTATTCAGTTGTCCCACTTTCCAGCCACCACTTATTCAGTTGTCCCACTTTCCAATCACCACTGATCCGATTGTCCCACTATCCAGCCAGCACTAATCTGATGTACCACTATCCAGCCACTACCAATCTGGCTGTCCCACTATCCATCCACCACTAATTTAGTTGTCACATTATCCATCAATCACTAATTCAGTTGTCTCACTATCCATCCACTACTAATCTGGTTGTCCCACTATCTATTCACCACTTAATGACTCACTATCCAGCAGCACTAATCCGATTGTCTCACTATCCAGCCACCACTGATCTGGTTGTCCCACTATCCAGCCACCACTGATCTGGTTGTCCCACTATCCAGCAGCACTAATCCGATTGTCCCACTATCCAGCCACCACTAGTCTGGTTGTCCCACTATCCAGCCACCACCAATTTGGCTGTCCCACTATCTATCCACCACTAATTTAGTTGTCACATTATCCATCCACCACTAATTCAGTTGTCTCACTATCCATCCACTACTAATCCACTTCTCCCGTTATTCTTACAAAATGTATATTCAGCCTCTGTCATACCATGACAATGATTGATTTAGTAATTGTGGTATTCACAATATATATGATGTCATGTTTGAACAGAGACTGGCTGGGCCATCACTTCCACCAACATTGGGCTGGGAAACAGGACAAACCCACCTCAAGGGGTCACAGGAATGCCAGTTCCCGGGTGGAATGGTAGGTCATATACGTTGTAAATCAGCGCTACAGTACTATCATGATATAGCAGATACATTCCTTCTTATAAGTGTTTAATTAATGTCCCTAATTACAGAACATTACATCTTGTTGTTCTAATTTTGCATTTTTTCACACCCAATTAAAGAGCTATGACAACAATAAGTAAACAATGCAATGTGCCAATGTACAGTTAGCAGTGCCGGTTAAATTAATTAGTAAGACCCACTTATAATCTGAGATGTTGTTTAGAAGATGCTATCAGTTCAAAGCAGATGTGCCTGTGCTTACATTCCATAGAAGTTGGTTGACCAGTGCTTTGCTATACCTTCTAACCTCCGCAGCGGAAGACGTTTCCTTTACAAAAAAAACACGTCTGCAGGTAGTCTCCAACAACTGCCACTAAATATACAGCTGGACCATTAAGGATTTCTTCATTGCTCATTAAGAATGCCAATAAAGAAAACACAAGCTCTTATCAATATCTTGGAATAAATTGTTTTTAAGGAATGGCAGACTATATTCTAATGAAGGATTTCGAAAGATAGTGAAAAACTTACTACACTTAATGGTCACATTATAAGCTGTGCACGTGGTCACCTGTCATAGGGGTCATCTGCTGTAAGAAGCCATTTCTAAATGTCCAAAATGAAGATAAATTTTGCTATTCCAGCCACCTTTAAATTTCAGCAAAAATGATTAGATTATGAAAGGACTGGATAACTGAGACAATTTTTGGAGAAAATCTGTCCCTGTTAAAACATATTGACTGAGTTATAGAGGATATTTTGACATTCTGAAAACTGAGTTTTTAGAGACTGGATTAACCAGACTTAAATGTATATACTATATATACAATATGTACATAGTGACATTAATTGAAATGTACTGTATTATATTCATCTGATTACATGTGTTTACAGTGAAGGTGATACGACAGGACGGCTCGAAGACAGACCCAATGGAACTAGGACAGATTGTTGTCAAGTAAGTTATTATAATCAAATAGAGATAATGTAATTATGAAAATAATTTTCATGTAACTGTCCTTATACTGTGATAGTGACTTTATACATTATCACCTTTTTTTTATACTGGCTCCTGTCTAATCAAGATCCAGACTTAAGTTTTAGTATATCTCAACCCTGGACCCTGTCTGATTTGGATCCTGTATATTAAAGTAGATGTATATGTCAACCCTGGACCACATCTATGTATCTCAGAAACCAGTGTTGTTTTACCAATTTTGCTACAGATCATCTTCGCTAGCCAAGGGTTCCGATCCCTGAGGAGTAGTATAATGGTAGATCGTACTTGATCGTAACCCTTCGCTAGCGAAGATGGCTATATAAATCTATTTTAAAACACAATGTATGTTCATTTTGGATTTTCAATTTTCCTTGATCTTATCTATTCCTGCAAAAGTGTCTTACAATTTTCGGACTAAAACATATGCAACATAATCAAAAAAGCATGGGAGCAGCCTTAAAAGTTACTGAACTTAGTCAGTAGAGCATCTTGTCACCAGGTGATCTCCTGAAGTACCTCCATACGTGTGACAGTCAATAGAGCACCTTGTCACCAGGTGATCTCCTGAAGTACCTCCATACGTGTGAGAGTCAATAGAGCATCTTGTCACCAGATGATCACCTGAAGTACCTCCATAAGTGTGAGAGTCAATAGAGCATCTTGTCACCAGGTGATCTCCTGCAGTACCTCCATACGTGTGAGAGTCAATAGAGCTCCTTGTCACCAGGTGATCTCCTGAAGTACGTCCATACGTGTGACAGTCAATAGAGCACCTTGTCACCAGGAGATCTCCTGAAGTACCTCCATACGTGTGAGAGGCAATAGAGCATCTTGTCACCAGATGATCACCTGAAGTACCTCCATAAGTGTGAGAGTCAATAGAGCATCTTGTCACAAGATGATCACCTGAAGTACCTCCATAAGTTTGAGAGTCAATAGAGCATCTTGTCACCAGATGATCCCCTGAAGTACCTCCATAAGTGTGAGAGTCAATAGAGCATCTTGTCACAAGGTGATCTCCTGAAGTACCTCCATACGTGGGAGAGCCAATAGAGCACCTTGTCACCAGGTGATCTACTGAAGTACCTCCATACGTGTGAGAGTCAATAAATAGAGCATCTTGTCACCAGGTGATCTCCTAAAGTACCTCCATACGTGTGAGAGTCAATAAATAGAGCATCTTGTCACCAGGTGATCTCCTGAAGGACCTCCATACGTGTGAGAGTCAATAGAGCACCTTGTCGCCAGGTGATCTCCTGAAGTACGTCCATACGTGTGACAGTCAATAGAGCACCTTGTCACCAGGTGATTTCCTGAAGCACCTCCATACGTGTGAGAGTCAATAGAGAATCTTGTCACCAGGTGATCTCCTGAAGTACCGCCATACGTGTGAGAGGCAATAGAGCACCTTGTCACCAGGTGATTTACTGAAGCACCTCCATACGTGTGAGAGTCAATAGAGCACCTTGTCACCAGGTGATTTCCTGAAGCACCTCCATACGTGTGAGAGTCAATAGAGCACCTTGTCACCAGGTGATCTCCTGAAGTACGTCCATACGTGTGACAGTCAATAGAGCACCTTGTCACCAGGTGATCTCCTGAAGTACCTCCATACGTGTGAGAGTCAATAGAGCATCTTATCACCAGGTGATCTCCTGCAGTACCTCCATACGTGTGAGAGTCAATAGAGCACCTTGTCACCAGGTGATCTCCTGAAGTACCTACATACGTGTGAGAGTGTTCATGTGTGTATAGATGTGTGCTAGAAGTTCTATAGGTACATGTATTCTGCTTGCTATGGGTTTGTAATTTCTCATTAGGAATCACCTAAAATGCAATTTGCTAACTTAATACTTATAACAGCACAGAAACCCTAGTTCCCCACCCAGAATGTAATATACTCTATGCAAGTGGAGTTGAGTAACAAGGTAAAGTTCTTGCTCAAGGAAGAAACCACATACGGTTATCTGCGAGATCTAAGCCTATAACATAACAGTAAGTAGGCCAGCACACCACCAACAGTTGTACTGTGCTTCGTGACCCCAGACCATATTATATCTTTGTTGTTGTGTCTCGGTTACAGATTACCTCTACCACCTGGAAGTTTCTCCACACTTTGGAAAAATGAAGAGAAATTTGAGGAAACCTACTTCAAATGTATACCGGTAATTACAAGTTTGTTGAAAATATACAAATTATCTGTCATCTTTTTTTCTACAAATAATTCTCCTTCATGGCTTAAGTCCTTGTGTAACAGATTGGGTCTATTTTCAAATCCATGGGTTCCTGGTTTTTACCTTGTCTCCATTTACACATAGTCAATATACATCCATAATCACACATTTTCTGTTTTCTGTTAATTAAATGAGCCATATATATATGAACAGCATGAAATATGACAGCTAGTGGTTATTTTAATGTCAATACATGTGTCCAACCTAATTCTAGAAAAAAAACATATTTTATTGATTTAGGTCAAATCCTTAACAAGTCACTGGTGGTATTCAAAGAAAGTCAAGTACTTATTTGATACTGGAAAAATAATGATAACACTTTATATCTTTTTAGTAGTGAAATGATATTGCCAAAACTCTGTGGGAACCCATCTACATAATTATTGAGAAGTCTTGAAATATTGGTTAATGTCCCATAATACATAATGATCAATATAATTCCGTGGCAGCTTCCCTGGACTATGCTATAATTAAGAATTATAGATTAAGTCATTAGTTAAATTATTTTGGGCATTTCAGTCTGTGCATTTGGATCATTGCATCTGACCTAGGCTTATTTTGAAGTATGAAGAGTGAAATCTGCCTACGCTACATTTTATTATGGAGGCTCACCTTGTGTCCCAAATACCAATCTGAGCTTCAGATTTCACTGTTGTTTGGAAGTGGAGGGGAGCTTCCTGTAAGAAATTTTAATGGAAGTGGAGGGGAGCTTCCTGCTAGAAATTTTAATGGAAGTGGAGGGGAGCTTCCTGTTAGAAATTTTAATGGAAGTGGTGGGGAGCTTCCTGTTAGAAATTTTAATGGAAGTGGATCGAGGGGAGCTCCCTGTTAGAAATTTAAATGGAAGTGGAGGGGAGCTTCCTGTTAGAAATTTTAATGGAAGTGGAGGGGAGCTTCCTGTTAATTTTTTTAATGGAAGTGGAGGGGAGCTTCCTGTTAGAAATTTTAATGGAAGTGGAGGGGAGCTTCCTGTTTGAAATTTTAATTATTTAGTGCTGCTCTCTTCTGGGTATGATCTCAAAACCATATACCCTCCATATTCTAAACATGCTTTTAGCTAAACCTTTGTGCTAAACCATAGTAGTCCAGAATCTGTCCATTCTATAATATATTCGCTGTAAATGTAATTGTGTGATCAGTTGACTGTATATGTGGTTGTTACAGGGTTACTACAACACCATGGACTCTGGATACCGCTGTGAGGAAGGCTACATCTCCGTCCTCACGCGTACAGATGACGTCATCAATGTGGCAGGACATCGTCTATCTACCGGAGCACTAGAAGAGGTGAAGTATGAATATATGTCGGAGTGACTTGACATACCCCTGCTCTAGAGGTGGGTTTTTTTGGGGGGGTGGGGTATACTGAATCAGGTCGTCTGTATGTCTATGTCTATCTGTTAGATATAGACAAGGGGGCTTGTGTGGCCAAGTGGTTAAGGCGTCTGACATTCTGCTTCCACTAGCCCTCATCCGCTGGGTCGCTGGTTTGAGACCTATGTGGGGCAGTTGCCAGGTACTTGCCGTCAGTCGGTGTTTTTTCTCCGGGAACCCCGGCTTTTGTCCACCATCAAAATCTGGCACGTCCTTGCATGACCATAGCTATTAATAGGACGTAAAACACAAACAAACCAAACCAATCCAATCAGATGTAGATATGCTTTTGCTGACACTACCCTTCCTAAAGTTAACTGCTCCAAAGAATATACAATCGTTACTGTTGCCTGGAAAAATCTACCTTCACCCAGTGTTTATTTTGCCCTGTAGATGTATTTGTCACAGGATCATAAAATTATGATATCAGACATATGAATTCTATAAATAGATTTATGATATTTCCTAGGCTATACTGGAGAGTGATGATGTGAATTCTATAAATAGATTTAAATATCTCCTAGGCAATACTGGAGAGTGAGGATGTGGTGGAGGCTGCCGTTGTTGGGGTCCCCGATGACCTCAAAGGTCAGATTCCGCTGGGAGTGTGTGTAATGAAACATGGTGAGTTAACACATATATACCAGCAATGATCAGGAGAAATATATTTTGGACAGGCAATTCTTTTATGAGGCCCCCACCAGTTCTCAGGGGTGGGGATGGAGGACTATAGGTTTGCACTCTGTCTGTCCATTTGTTTGAATACTTTGTCTGGAGCATACCTTATGATATCTTATATACAGAAGATTACTATCTACCTAGAGTTATCAGATTTGGTATGCAAGTTCATTTTGTGGGTTAACTTGACTTGGGTAGATATTACATGGCAATTTATATAAAACAAAATTCATCAGGTTTCAATACCTAATGTATCCATGATCACAGGTGTGAAGAAATCTGAGGAAGAGGTTATCCAGGGTGTGGTCAATAAGGTCAGACAGTTAATAGGACCAGTGGCCAGCTTCAAGCAGGCAGTCATCGTACCCAGACTGCCCAAAACTCGAGCCGGCAAGACTGCTCGAAACACATTGGCAGCCATAGCAGCAGGCAAACCATACAAGGTAAACTCAACACACCACATCTTGAGAGAACGTGTCCAAGTTCAATTTGTCAGGTCGAAACTACACATACTAGTGGCAATCAGGATTTCTTCTTAAAATTTCTTGTTTGGTGTAAGTCCCCCATTTAAATTTCATTTAAAATTACCCCTATACTGTAAATTCAGATTAAGCACCTGACATGTCTTGGTCAGTTGAAAAACACTCAATATACATGTAATGGCAGTTATCCATCACAATTCACTAATCGTTCATGATACTCTGGATATATAAAAAGGATTTAGAAGTATGTCTTTACCGATGATTTTAACAGTTTTAATTTGTTATTTATATTATTACACATTGCAAGTATTTCCAGGAAAATTTCTCTGCTTCATGTTAATTCCCTTTTTAGAAAAAGTTTGGTTTTCTGTAAAACCTCTCCAAAGAATTGTGATAACATTAATCATTGTGCTTGTATCATAATGTTACAGAATCTATTCATATATTAAATGCCAGTAAAAATCTTTTGAAATCTGTACATATTGATTGTCATGTGCATATGTACTCCAAGAGTTAGTAATACATTACGATTACATACACATGACATGTACTTGCATTTTCTTATGGATTGTTATGGATACCATGCTGGTTATCTTACTACTGTATTGCCATTCATACTTTTTACAATATACTAGTGATTCCACTTCTGTGAAACTCTTGCTGTGGATGGAAATTGGTATTATATATAGTGTGATATTTAAATTGTTTGCTTTCAATTTCAGATTCCTGTCACTATCGAGGATGCTACTGTCTACCCGGCCATACACAAAGCTCTTACAGACGCTGGCTTTCCGCCCAAGTAACTAGTGATCACCAAATAATTAGTAGTAACCAATTAACTAGGGGTCACGTGCACCACTTGTAACCCAGTAACTAAATGGTCACCAGTGGTAACAAAGTAACTGTTTGTTTCCAGTGAATGTCAAGTAACTAGCAGTCACCACTTGTAATCATGTAACTAATGGTTACCAGTGGTAACAAAGGAAATAGTGGTCACCAATGGTTACCAAGTAAACAGTTGTTACCAATGGTAACCAGGTAACCAGTGGTTACCAAGTAACTTGGTTGTTACTCATGGTAACCAAGTAACCAGTGGTCACTAATGGTAGCCAAGTAACAAATAAGTTATTGAATGTATCATCAGGTAATTATAACCATTGAGCATCATGTACACAGAGGTGACTACATGGTTAACGTTTTTATATTTACTATTACAAAAATGAACAATGGAAACATGAATGAAATCCTTCAAACAGACTGTAATTAAATATAAACGGAATGGTGTCACTGTGAAACATCTAGATCTGCTGTCCTATTTACCCCAGTACACAGGATCTGCTGGCATACTTACCCCAGTACACAGGATCTGCTGGCATACTTACCCCAGTATACAGGATCTGCTGTCATACTTATCCCAGTATACAGGATCTGCTGTCATCCTTACCCCAGTACACAGGATCTGCTCGCATACTTACCCCAGTACACAGGATCTGATGTCCTACTTACCCCAGTACACAGGATCTGCTCGCATACTTACCCCAGTACACAGGATCTACTGGCATACTTACCCCTGTATACAGGATCTGCTGTCATACTTATCCCAGTATACAGGATCTGCTGTCATACGTACCCCAGTACACAGGATCTGCTGTCATACTTACCCCAGTACACAGGATCTGCTGTCATACTTCCCCGAGTACACAGGATCTGCTGTCATACGTACCCCAGTATACAGGATCTGCCTCCAGTACACAGGATCTGCTGTCCTACTTACCCCAGTACACAGGATCTGCTGGCATACTTACCCCAGTACACAGGATCTGCTGTCATACTTACCCCAGTACACAGGATCTGCTGGCGTACTTATATTATAATTACCCCAGTACACAGGATCTGCTTCAGATAATGTTTATATTTAGATCTACGTTTCCTCATAAACCAACATGTCAAGGTTTAAAAGTTTTGACATTTTAAAATATGTGCATGATAGTGGTGAATGAAGGCATCAAGGTTATTACCATGTGTCCAACAATCGATTATATGGGTGTGTGTTTGGGATATGTACATGTAAGTGTGATATACATGTATATGGGTATACATATTTGATCAGTGCATGGCTGTGTTTTATATATTGACAAGCAAATGTTGTTGCTCATCCTTTCTATATGTAAGCTGGTGGTTTGTGAGTTGTGTGTAAGGTTTATATGTTATGTGTGGGAAGTCGAGGTTTCTACGTGTGAGGAAGGTTTATACGATGAACATACCATATCTAGAGAAATCTATCTGTGCAGTGCTCATATTTGATATCATTTAATTAAAATAATGTTTTATAGGGCGTAATTAAATGGACTTTAAGATGAAATTTAAAAAACCTGTAAACCTCATGTAAACACTGGGTGTCTGGACATTTGATAGTTATGTCACAGAAACTCATTAACCTCTCTGACAGTTCCGGGGGTCTGTTTGTATAACGAGAACAAATGTTCATTGATGGCTGATCAAGATAACAATTTCTTTTTAAAATAGATAACAGCACTCTTCAATAAAGATATTTCAGATAATATTTAACACTCTTCATAATTAGTATACATTTAATCTGTTCATCTTAAAGTCTGTTTTACAAAACAATATGTGTGCCAATAATAAATACTGTCTGCCTTTACATGAACTTTTTTTCATATTATACAGCGTTTTATATTGTGTGTTATACACTGTATTGTAGTATATATAGACTAAACGAAGATGGCTTCCTGCTGACTTTCAATTGTTTGAAGGATTATTGATATGTGTTTCTTGTTAAGTGCATTAAAAATTAATATGTAAGTAATATGATTGCATACAATTAATTTTAAATTATGAAGAAATTCCATTGTGTTTTAAATACTTGAAAATCTCATCCTAATGGATTGTAATCTATTAAAGCATAAGAACCACATATTTCATTGGGTGGTATATAGGATGGGTCTACTTTCCAATCCAAGGGTTCTCAGATTTACCTTGGCTTGCCATGCACTGTCATTATGTAAAACCAGTTAAATGAAATCTGCCTGTAATGGAGAAACAATCTTGAGTATCTTTTACTTTGGTTTTAATGGTTCAAGACAAGATGAAGTGATTATGATTTAATGGTTCAAGATAAAGTGATTATGGTTTTAATGGTTCAAAATTAAGTGATTATGGTTTTAATTGTTCAAGATGAAGTAAATATAGACAAAAGGAGACAATGTCTATGGGATTACTTAATTTTTAATGGTTCAAAATTTGTAGTTTCTCCTCGTTTCATTTCAATACTTTCATACATATACTGTACATGCATTCATTTGCTTTATTTTTAGTTCACCTGCTGGCTGAAGCCAGTGACAGACTAAATTTTGTATAAATGGAGGATGTGACCCCCTTGGGGCAGAGGGCTGGGCCAAATTTGGGAAATAGATTTTCATGTTTTTCTTTTTGCAACTTGTACTTAAACCTTCTTGTACTCCTTTAATAAACCTGTATTGGCTCAGCAGGTTTTAGATTGAAAATAAATACCAGGTGAGCTATTAAGGCCCCTGGGCCTTTGTTTTCCATATTGTGAAATATTGTGGAAAGTCAGTGGGAATATTCTTTAAATATATTCAATTATGTATATTATACTGCAGATACCTATATTTTTTGTATGTATACAACCATTTATATTTTTATATACAAATGATACTTAATATTTGAGCCTGCTATAAAGGTAGTTTACATTATATGCAATTTTTTAATCCCTCCATGTTGAATTATTTGGTTGTAAGATTCTCGGTTAAATAATGTACATGAGCGTATCAAAACTCAATATTTGGTTGTTACAAGATCTGTGATGGCGTTAATTATTTGCTTTGTTAATGCATGTTTATATTATAACATAATTTTTAGCTCAAGAATATATGGCGACGCATTCATACAGGTCTTGCCAAGATAGTGCAAAAACTATTTATCCTATCTCACTCAAACTTTGTACAAGGACTGGCAATTCCAAGAGGATGAACTCTATCAGAGTTCAAAGTCAAAGGTCAAGGTTGTAGGTGAAACTTTCTAATTTTGTAGGCACACCTTGTTACCATCACTCTATGAAGTTAGCTTTATAGTGACTTCATTTCTAAATTGATTTTTATAAAACTTTGTACAATAGTCAATGATGGGAATTTCTGGAAGAGTTTATGTTTCAAGGTGTTATAGCCAAGGTCAAGGTCTCATGTTCTATATATAGCACATATTTATTACTCAAGCAACTTTCTAGTTTCTGCTGAAGAACTTGAAATGTTTACATGTGGATTTGGAAATATATCTGTTAGATAAAACGAAATTCACTATCAGAGAATAAAGTTGCTAGAGTGACACATACCTAGGAACTGTTGATAAGATGAAAACCATATGTTAAACAGGTTGTTCATTGTATGTTTATGTGCTGGCATGACGTCTAAGGAGTCATGACATTTGGCATGTTGCTGGTATGGAATGCTATCAGGTTGTTGAAATGACCTTTAACTCACTTTCAATGTCACAGAGGTGATATGTGCCAAAATTTCAAACAACTATTTAACACTTACACTTTCTTGCTGCAGTGAAGGACTATCAGATTTTTCAAATAAATTGTTGAAAATGACAAATGACATCATCAAAAGAATTATGATGCAAATTAAAATTAGTGGTGATATATACACAATAACTTGCCAACTTGAATCCTTTTTAAGGTCATTGCTCACAAGTATTTGAAAGTTAAAACAACTTCTAAGGAACTAGGAGATATTAATTCAGAATAATGATAAAATTTTCAGGTGCATTGTCTCCATGCAATTACATGAATGCAAATATTCAGGTTTGTGATGTTCTCATCGTGTGGTTTATAGTTCTTAATCAGTTTGATAAAAACCTGGTGAGCTATTGTAAGCCCATGGGCCTCTTGTTTGAATGAAAATATAGCTATCAAAAGTATAAATTAATTAGCACATAATGATTGACAAGATTAAGGTGGTCCTGTAGGTTACTGTAACATAAGTGTATGACGAGGGATGTATTACAGACCAAGTTTTAAACGATTAATATGTGTTCTACCATATTAGGCATTGAGCGAGATATTCCGTCTTTGCGTATTGCAGAGTTTTCTGCTCTTGTGAGCAGGGATTGATTGTTACATCATTTGTTTGTGAGAGTAACGTCATCAATTTTTGAGAAAACGACGTAATTTTCTCACACAAACCAATGACGTAACAAATCAATACCTGCTCACAAGAGAAGATAACTGCAATACGCAGACGGAATAGAGAACGAACGTTTTTAGAAATCATAATCCGATGTGATATATACAATATTGTTACATTAACCCTTGGGATACAAAGACTTAAATTTTTGATGACATTTTTGCACGATTATATAAATCTCGGTGTAATGTAGAATTGAACTTTACGATAATGTATGTGTACATGTAAATACTTAAGATATTGTTTTTATGGTTAACAGTTTTGTACTTGAAAGAGGGAAAAGATATTATAGAAATTAATTGAATTGATTATAGGTTGTATCTTATTATAAGGGTGGTGTGAGAGTCGGCATAATGTACCAGGGGAAATCCAGTTGGAACAGATACGTATACCTCTGCAATACTTGTTACTGTTTATATACAGGAATGGTTAAAATACGAATGAGATATTTCTATGATACTGTTGTTAGCTGTTACAATTAATCAATATAAATCATTCACTTCTCCAGTCGTTCGCATCTTGTCCAGACCATGTAACATCCAAATAGTGGAATGTTTGTAATAGACAACAGACATCTATTGACTGTATCACAGGTGACTCACCACCAAACAGACATCTATTGACTGTGTATCACAGGTGGCTCACCACCAAACAGACATCTATTGACTGTGTATCACAGGTGGCTCACCACCAAACAGACATCTATTGACTGTGTATCACAGGTGGCTCACCACCAAACAGACATCTATTGACTGTGTATCACAGGTGGCTCACCACCAAACAGACATCTATTGACTGTGTATCACAGGTGGCTCACCACCAAACAGACATCTATTGACTGTGTATCACAGGTGGCTCACCACCAAACAGACATCTATTGACTGTGTATCACAGGTGGCTCACCACCAAACAGACATCTATTGACTGTGTATCACAGGTGGCTCACCACCAAACAGACATCTATTGACTGTGTATCACAGGTGGCTCACCACCAAACAGACATCTATTGACTGTGTATCACAGGTGGCTCACCACCAAACAGACATCTATTGACTGTGTATCACAGGTGGCTCACCACCAAACAGACATCTATTGACTGTGTATCACAGGTGGCTCACCACCAAACAGACATCTATTGACTGTGTATCACAGGTGGCTCACCACCAAACAGACATCTATTGACTGTGTATCACAGGTGGCTCACCACCAAACAGACATCTATTGACTGTGTATCACAGGTGGCTCACCAC